CCTTGTTTGGAATATGAAGTTAATAATCAGCAATATTTCTCCAATTATCCCATACAAAACTGTGGCTCTCCTGTATTTAATAAAGACATTTTACTGCATAATGGTTGAAAGTTAGAATACCATGGAAGTGTTGAGTGCTAATACTGAAGCAATATTAAAAAAAAAAAGTCTTTGTGTGTTTTCAGAACCCAGACATGAGACTCTGGGCCTGACATGCAAAACGTGTTGAGCTCTGGGTCCTGCAGCCACAGCTGATCTTGATTAGCTGCAATTACAAATTGCAAATTAAAATCAAAGCAACCCAGGTTGTATTTCTGGCTTGTACTTTGCAGGTTTTGGTTCTAAGTATTCATTCTTCACCTTGCTAACTGCAAAATACTGCTTTGCTGGTGGGATTTAAGAAGAAAACGGGAACCAGTCTTGTACTGCTGCAAATGTGTGTTGACTTCCAAACAAGACCAGGACATTCAGTGTCCATAACAGATCTGACTCTTGAATTGGCAATTTCAAAGTCCTATTGGTTCAAGCAATACTTGCCTTTTACAGTTTTTGTGAGGCTTTAATTTTTGGTTTGGGGTTGGGTTTTTTTAGATTTTTCTTAAAACAGTCTCTTTAAGGGATCTCATATGTGGTGGGAGAAGCTGACTGAAGTACCTAGGAATATACCAGAAGAGAAGGAGTGAATCCTAAAACCTTATATGCAAAATCCAAATGCTTTCTTTCCTTCTGCATTCATAGGGCAGAGAGACAGAAACAAACCTAAGTTATAAATACAAATGCAAAATAAATGTCATTTTCTCCAGGTTTTTTTTTTCCTCTGTGGATTACAGAAGACTGGCAGATCCAAAACCCCACCTTGTCTTCTCTGGACAGATTGAGAGGCACATTTTGGGAAGTTGGACAAGAAAAACAAATAACTTTTGGGCTTTCCTTTCTTTTTTTTTTTTTTTTTGGTCAGACTTTCAGCATGTGGGTTTGACCCCTTCAACAGTCACTAGTGTTTGATAGAGACTGTTGAACAAACGACTGCATAAATTTTGTCACAAGCAAGAATTTAAAGCTGTAATCCTTACTATAACAGTTACTGTATTTAGCAAAGATCCTTTATTATTTGTTTTCAAATGTTTCCATTTTCAGTGCTGTTTCCTTCCTGTTGAGTCACCAGGTGGGTCATAGCCCTGATTTATGAAACTCAGCACCTGAGGACATTTGCCTCAGAGCCGCTTTTGTTTATTTTTTTTAAAAAATGTAACAGTTAAATCCTTTCTGTATTTTGAAGGGACTCAGTTCTTCTGGGTGGACCATTGAAATGGGGAGTGAAGCAAAGCAGTGGCAGAGTCTGTGCCAACACAGTGAGACTGTAAACCCAGTACCATGCAGTCTTGGAGGAGAAGATTTGGTCCTACAGAACCAAAAAAGTGCCAGTTTCTGATGTGGCATCGTAGCTTTATCCTTGCAGAGTGCAGTGCTCTGGACAAGCAAACAGACCCAGAGAGGTACTGTCTGTGAGGACAGCACTGTGTCACTGGGAAAATAACCCTTCCACAGGATTCTTCCAGTCACAGAGCAGGAGAGGGAAGCTTTTCACTGCTCTCCTTTGTGGAACCGTGCACAGACCAGCACTGGTGGGGTGGTTGTGCTCAGAGGTGAAGCCTGGTGGCACAGGGGACCTGAGGGCAGGCTGGGACTGCAGGGAAGGCAGTTCCAGCCACACGTGGCTCTGTTTTCGCTCAGATTCCTTTGGAGACACCAACTGAAGGGCTCAGCTTGTCTGCACCGGGTAATTTGAATACTGCATGTGTGTAATGAGGTGTTTTGATTACACTGAGACTGAAGCAGGTCACGTGGAATACATACTGCTCTTTTGCCAAGTGGCACCTGCGGGAAAAGCCTCGCTTTACCTGCATCCTAGAAAATCTCCAGGCATTCCACTTTCCCTGCGGGTGATCAGGAGGTGCTGTTTGGTGCTGAGGGCTGCACGTGCTGCTACATGCTTGGAATCTCTCTGAAACCATAAAGCCACATCACAAAGTTCCCCTGTAATTTCTGTTGTGCACAACTGTCATTATCCTGAGGTTAAGGCAACGGCTCTTCTTTCATTGCCTGTCTATATATTGCTGTGGAACACGTAGTCTGATCTTAAAAACTGCCTCTGTGGGACTGGCTGCATCACTTTCAATACCTTTGGCAGTGACCTTCAGCTTGCTCCCAGAAGGCAAGGCTAACTTGCTTTTTTGTTTGTTTTGTTTTATGGTTTTCCAGCATGAGTCAGGAGGTCCCATTCCTCGGTCAGGGGAAGGGAAGTGACTGTTTCTGGGGCTTTCCTGATTACTGGTCCTTTTTCCTGGTGAAGGCCAGATGACAGGCTGAGGAAAAGCTCTGACATTTCACTTCTGCATATGCCTGGTTCTGATGTTGAACTGGTCAGCTTTCAGGAATGGTAGCTGAGAGCCTCTTAACTGAGTAAAATGCCAGCTTTTAGATTCTGAACACAGTTAATAGCTGAGTTGTCATTCCAGGAATAAGAAGATTTTTCCTTAGTTTGCCTTAGCAACTCCTTACCTTGAAAAGTCTCCATTTATTGGAGCCCAGAAGGGGCTCAGACCTTTGCAGTTCAAACACCAGAGCCTGCTGTTTCCACCATATGGAAAATTAGCAAACAGCAAGGTCCTGAAAGTGCAGCAGTACATTTCCTCAGGGAAAATAAAATACTGTGTTCTGTTGTTTATGTAGAAACTGCCTTACATCATGGAGTCACAGATGTGACTGAAAGGGAGATGTCACCCAGACTATTTACTCTCTTGTATGGATAAAACATGTCAAATATGTTCACGTTCCTACATGGGGGGGGAAACAAAGAAACCAGTCATCATGTTTTCACTGCAGTCCCCTTCCATTGGGATTGAGAGCTGATTCACATATTCCCTGGTAGTTTGTGCCTGTGACACACTGCAACCTTGCAGACCCAATAGAGATTTCAAAGTCAGTATTTTTGGCAAGAAGGAGTTAATTAGTTCCTAGACAAAGGAAAATTCTCCTCTATTATGTACTTGTGACAAAATAGAAATTAATTCTGTAGTGTACTGAGAACAGTCTTTTATAATCCCTGCCCAGAACTGGAATTCTGATGTTACACACATAATTCCTCATCCCCTCTTACTCTGCTGCCTCAGGTAGCTAAGAGCTAAATGTGTGTGTTTGGCTTTTTCCTGCACAATGAACAATGAAAAATGTTAGTCTGGATTTTTCTGTTGAGTCCTACCAGCATATATTCAATACTGCTTTCTTTCCCTAAGGGAAACTTGAACATCTGTACCTGGTTTAGTGCTTCTGGTGGATGATATGCAGGAATTATGGTATTTTTTCTGAAGCATCCAAATGCTGTGGTGGTATAATGGAGCAGGGGGGGTGTAAATAGGAGGCTCTTCTGGAGGAGAAAAAAGGGTGGCAAATGTGGGACAGATTCCCTAGCCAGTCTGCATTTTTGGATTGTGGGATTTAGACAAAACCAAATGATTATCGAGTCATTCCTGGCTGAAGCTGGTATCCATCTCAGAGCCATTTTCTTCCCAGGAGCTTGGTCTCAGTGAAGAAGCCTCTGCGTGGAGCTGAGATTACACGACTGCTTCCCTTCACAGAAAAAACATTTGCTGCTGCCCCAGGTCGATTTACACTCAGTCAAATATTTAGGCTTATGGTGAATTACAGCATGTCTGGTGAAAATAGTTTGGTGTTTAAACACCCTGGAAAAACTGGCAATATGTGCATCAATATTTGCCCTATTTAAAAGGAGGCTTTTAGGTCTGGACTGTGGCAAGCCTGGCTTTGGAGTTGGAAATGTGATCGTTTTTAGTGCTGCTGGGAAGAGTAATTAGAGGGCGTCTTCTACATTTGAACTAACCTTCAAAGCCAGGCTTCCCTCACAGGATTTTCTGGCAAGTGGGAACACATTTGGCCAGTAAAAAGGTCTCTAGGAAGCAGGTTTGAAGAAGTCAGCTAGAATGAGCTTACTCTTCATATATTTGTCTATTATTTTTGAAAATAAAATCTCCAAGTAAGAGCAGAGAGAATGAAGTTCCTGCCCTATTCAGAGATTGCAGGGTCGAGAATCAGCTCCTCTTCCTTCCCCATGGAGTCAGGCAGGTAAGTCTAACCTAGTCACCCTAAAATGCTTCTAATCCATGGAGAAATAGGCACCTCTGGGAGACAAGCTGTCAAATTTCAAGTTGAGTCCCATGAGCCATCATCAGGAAACATTTATTTATCCCGCTGGTTAACTAGCCCTGGGTTTGCCCTGCAGTTGGTTTTTATTTTCCTGTTTGCTTGCAGAGCAACTTAAAACAAACAGACCCCCAAAACAAACAAACAACAACAAAACAAACAAAAGACCAAAAACACCAAAACCATCTGATGTGAAAATGGAAAAAGAAAAAGATTCCCTTGTAGCTGGGCAGTTCTTGGCAACCACGGATCGTATGATTACAGTAAAGTGGAAAAACATCTGTATGTGGATGGCCCTGGACAGTGGCATGGAGGAGGAAGAAGCAGCAGGAAAAAGAGGGCAAGCAAAGCTCACACAGTGGCCAACTTCCACATCAGTCCTCAAAATAAGGCTTGTGAGTAATGAAGGAACTTTTTAGATGTGTGATGAGAGAAAGTGAATTTAATAAATCTGTATTTTTAAGTGTGCCTTCAGGAGTAAATTAGTCCCAGCGATCTGTTGTTTGCTGGATTGTATTACGGTGTTTTTTCCCTCCCAACTTTTTGTCAGGGCAAACTTTTCAGCTTTTCTGATCTTTCCTTTTCCCACTGTTTAGACTGATCCTGCCAAAGGGCAGTACAGGCAGGCCCTGTTTTCTGCTCTCCTCTCAGCTGGGAGGAGGGTGGTAACAGCTGTCCACATGATCACAGAAATTAGTGCATGGGCCGAGGGGTCTCTCACTCACCACCAGTTAAGGGAGATGTGAATAATCATTCTTCTCTCCCAATTCCAGCACAGAAGGTTGCAGTTCTTTCAAAGGAACGGGCCCCTCAACATCAACCACTACGCCAACAAGAAGAGCGCGGCCGAGAGCATGTTGGACATCGCCCTGCTCATGGCCAACGCCTCCCAGCTGAAGGCTGTGATGGAGCAAGGACCTTCTTTCAACTTCTACATCCCCCTCATCGTTCTCATCAGTCTGTCACTCACACTGCAAATCATGGTGGGAGTGCTCCTGATATTCCTTGGTAGGTGGCCACGGCGAGAGCCATTGATGTGTTTTTCTTGCAGCTGTTGTGTTTGGAAGTCTTTACCTCAGAACTGATCAAAGTTAGAATCATAGAATCATTTGGGTTGGAAAAGGCCCCTAAGAACATTGAGTCCAGAAGTTAACTCTGCCCTGCTGTGTTCACCCTTAATCCCTGTACATGAACACCACCACTACACATCTTTTAGTTATCTCCGGGGATGGTGACTCAGCCACTTCCCTGAGCAGCCTGTTCAAATGCTTGACAACTCTTTCAAGGGAAAAAAATTTTCTTAAACATCCAAAAATATTGATTTTCTCTTGAAACCCTAGAAATAGTGCAACAAAGGCAGGAAGGGCAGATTTATGTGGAATCCTCTATTTTTAGCAATGTTCTTATTTCCCAGAGTATGAATGTTTTTCTCAGCAGAAAGCCTGAGGAGGAAGGAAAATGATGAAATATCATAAAAGAAACATCAGTAGGCCAGATAGGATCATGCAGCCTGCCCAGTTTCATAATACTGTTTCCAGCAAGACCTGTTACTTAATCTTATGACTGAAATATGTTTCTTCCATATAAAAAAAAATTTACTGTGAATATGGAACTCTGAAAGAGAAGTGAAAGTCAAAATGCCCGTTTTCGTGTTGGTGGGGCACGTTGTCTTCAGCTTGGCCGTGTTCCTGCAACCAAACTGCATCTACCATTCCCCAGCTGGAGATCCCAAATCTCTAAGTGGGGACTGGTAGAAATATACTTGTTATTGTTAATTTTCAAATCCATGTTAAACTGAAATTAAAAAGAAAAATAGGTTACTTGGAGCAGCGTTTCACCCGAAGGGCATATCTCATCTGTTATCCACATGAAGTCATAGTGACTTCAGTCCAGAAATTTGAAATGACACATGACATCAAAATACAGTGTGAGTATAATCCTGGAACTTGCTTGGGAAAGCCTTTTTACTTTCTGCCTAAGAAATGTGATGTGACACCATTAGCATATGCTGGAAATCACTCATTCAAGAGGATGAGTTCAAATAGGAGTTGTGTTAAATGTGTGCTTTGGGCACGTTGAATGAGGCAGCTGTAGAATTAGTTCCCTGCTCCCTGCCTTCCCCTTCTCCCCTTTCTGTCATGTTGAATTACAGACCTTCACATTCCTAGAAATTCAGTGCAGTGGTTTTGCTGTTCTCAAAAACAGACATTTGATATTAACAGGTACAACACTGTGAGGCACAAGACACAGTATTTATCACTAAAAAATAGGTATTTTAAGTTAGTATTGCCAAATTGGTAGCACACTTATGTCCTGCACCCTCTGCCTTATTCTGTCAGGTAGAATATTGATCTAAGTAGCTGTAGAAACAGACTTATTTCTAAAAACAATGTCATTGCTGAGTGATCATGAATTACCCAAAAAAACCCAACTGAAACTCCACCAAGAGTGGAGACACAGCACTATTCTGGAAAACTGGGTTTTCTGTTTTGACCTTAAACAAGCCTTCAGTACCCTTCCTTGCTGTCTTAACCTACTGTGGTATTTTCCCCCGTGCTCTTGTGATGCCAAATGCAAAAAGAATCCAGTGGCTCTTTGCAGAGTTGCTGAAAACCTGTGACATGAATGAGCAGCACCCAAAGCCCCAGACTATCCCTTTAGAGAGTCAGGCAAAGATTCCTATGGAAATCAGAGGAAATGTTGAACCACACTGTTCACTGAAATAAATGACATCTCCACTGGAAGGAAACAGCTGTGGATCCCTTCTGCTGGTGTTATGTGATCATTTCTTCTCATAACCTTTTTCAAATCTTGCTCTTTAATGAGTGCAATAAGTCCAGTGTAAATGAAATGTGAGAGATGACACATGGGTGCCACCTTTGGCATCCCTGTCAGTCCTTCACTGTTCTGCTTTTTTAATCACAGCTGAAAAAGCAAGGTTCTGTTCAAGGAGGAAGTTCCTGGGGATCCAGGATATGCGTCTTGTAATATTGATAAGTAGCTGATGTAGCTTTTTTCTTTCTTACAAAAGAGACAGAATACAGCTGTCTCTGCATTTGGTAGGGTTGGTGCAAGAGCAAAATCCAGGTCTTGGCTCAGAGGAGATTCCAGAAAGGGACTGGAAAAAAACAACCTGTTGATACTGGGAGAGGTGGGAAGAGAGTCATGGAAAAATTAGCAAAATACGTGGATGTTCCTCAAGGCATCTCCCTGGTGGTTGTTTCAGCAGCCTTTGAGGCTATAAACAAGTTCCCTCTCTTTTTGTTGGGCAACAATTTCTCAGTGTGTGCTGAGCTATTGCTTTTTAGTGCTTGTTTCTGCAAGACATTGCCAAAATGGCTTAAGTGCTGTCAGTTTTATCTTTGTCACACTGAGAGTGACAAAGCCCTCGGCTTGTGGTGACACCCTCTTGGAACAGTGCTGTCCTGCTGAGGTCAAAGGAGAGGAAGAAGATAGGAAGAGAGGAAATAGGACATGAAGGTACAAAGATACAGGCATCAGAGTGAGAACTTGCTTTTCCCAATGTATATTTGGCCTACAGGAACAGTTTGCCACAAAATTCTGCCTCTACAATCTCCAAACAAAAGTCTGTGCCTCCATCCAGTTTCTTTCCTTGAGACAGGTTTTATCCTGGGAGCTACTAGTTCTCACAGTTTCTACGGGGGGTTAAAAGCTCTTCCTCCTTCAAAAGAGCCTTTTACAAAAACAATGTGAGAAATGTTCAGCAAACTTGTCCTTGAAAGTGATTTGGTGATCTTAACTTTTTGGAAGAAAAGCAAAGAATGTCTTGAAATAGTTTCAGTAGCATGAAATCATAGTAATCTAATCCCACTATAATAAAATACTTAAAGAATAACTGTTCTTAAGAACATTTTCACAAACACCCTCATCTTAAGCACTGTAATTACGAAGATAGGATTACTGCAATTCTGCTTCAAAATTTAGAGCTCTTCCTAAACTAACAAGCATTACTTGTCTTCTCTGACCCTCCTTTGGACAAAGGGACAGCTCTGAAAGTGTCAGCTTGCCTTTCAGCATGATTTCTTTTAACTTGCATGACAGGTTAGGCCATTATTACCTCTCCTTTTTAAACCAACCATCTGAAATGCCTTTTTTTTCCACATTTCAGAATTAATTTTTCCATTTCATTTATTCTGCTTCATTCACATGGCAGTTACTAGAGTCCCTCAAGGTCCTGGTGGGATGCAAACATCCATGTACCTCCAGATGCTTTACAGACCTGTAAACTCACTTCAAGGTTGAGGTACTACTGAGGCTAAATTATTTCATGCCTACAGAGGTGTGCAGGAGCTTCTCAGACAGTTCCCCCCCACTGTTCTTCACTGCTTTACCTGGCCTGTGATGTTTGACTACACTACTTTAGCAAACAGGACTTGAACAGGTGCCCAGAATTCCTTGAAACCAGAACAAGCATTAGGCTTCCAAATTAGGGACACCAGATGAACCTGGCTTTTAGTATTTCAGCATCGTGAGTGTGTTTGCCACCACTCAACTGCTGCCACAAGCAAGGGAGTCTGTGGTTTGGCTCTGCAGTGTTGGCAGGGTCATTGAGTCACACAAATAACAAAGTTGATCTCCTGCAGTAGAGTCATATAAGCTGCACATCTGTGTATGTGCCTGTCAGAAGGAGCTCTAAGTTTTATTTATGTTGCTGCAAAAACTTGTCAGGTATAAACTTTCTCTTGCAGACACAAGCTCCAGTGACCTATGCAAAACCCATTCTCAAAACTTGTTCCAGGGTTCCTCTTCACTCATTCTACCAGCATCAAAGAAATGTAGCTGAGGATCTGAGCTGCAGAGCCCTTACTGCAAGGGAACTGTGGAAAATGTTGGGTATTCACATGATGTTTTAGTGGCTGTTTGGGCAAAGTTTGGACTTGATGATCTTGGAGGTCTTTTCCAGCCTTAGTGATTCTAAGACATCAGGCAAGCACCTCAGACTTCTCACTGTCCTGTACCAAGCCTATTATCAGCCCAGTGTAACTAATTTGTATGTTTTCACAAGGCCTGGAGTCAAAATTTACACTAAATTAATGCTATCTCCCTTGTGTGATCCTCCCTCACTCCCATTAGAAGTTCAAGCAAAAAGCAACTGCAAGAAACAAAGGAAAATGTTTACACAGCTGATGCTCTCTGTAGGAAGGGCTGCAGCTACACTGCTCCAACATCTCCCTCTGTTTAACAGAGAGAGAGCCCTTGCTTTCTAAAAACAGAGCCAGGGCAAAAGCAGGGAGTACAAGGGAGTACAAGCTGGGGAAGGGCACCAGCACAGAAAAAAAATCCAGCAGTGGTAAAGAGATTTGTAGCATTTTAATGGTGGGAAATTTAGCTTCATCCTGTCAGGGCTTCAAAACTTCATGTGTTCAAGACTGAAATAATTTTTAAATGCTTAAAGCCTGCTACAAAGCTAGGCTTCAAAAGATCAAGAGTTCAGAAGATTCCTAGTAATGTTAGTGCATCCATTACTTCCTATGTGCCTCCACAGAGATTAGATGCTAATTACTGGAAGTTAATAGGCTCCTTGTGGTTACAGACCTTCCCCTTAGCATTTTTACTGACACTGCAGAATATCTGACTTCCCTTTTAAATATGACTGATGCAAATAGCTCAGCATAAGAGAAATCCTTGAACTACATCAGTATGAAGACTTTTATTCTGGATTTTGAAATATTCATCTCACTAAACTTTTTTTTTTTTTCTCCTCTCTCTTTGAAGTAAAATATGACCTTAACAACCCTGCAAAACATGGAAAGCTGGATTTCCTCAACAACCTTGCAACTGGACTAGTATTCATTATAGTAGTTGTGAATATTTTTATCACTGCCTTTGGAGTGCAGAAACCAATTGCTGATTCAGCACCAAAACAATAAGTACCAGGTGAGTGTGGTCTCCCTGCACCATAAGGTAGCAGGGCATGGCATCCAGGAATGCAGGGCACACTGGGGCATGGCTTTAGGCCTTGCCTATACAGTTCTAGTCCCTGCAGGTAACTGAGTTCACTTCACATTAATGCAGAAGCAGCTGGGAACTGGTAAATGATGAGAGTGTTTGTAAATGTGGAGTTCAAAAGTTGATGGCAACCTGACCCTGTCAGGGGCCCCTTGCATGTGCCAGGATAGGAAGTGTGAGGATTGCCCTGCCTCAGGCACTCCTTTTCCTCACTGCTGACTAAGACAATAAGGGAAAAAGTGTTGTTTGGCTTTCTCCAAATGCCTCTCCTTTCTTTAAGGAAGGTTTGAATCCAGTCTGTCCCGAGCACTGAAGACTTAATCTGTTTCCAAGTAAGCAGGGCTATTGTCTGACATGTAACACTGCATGTCCTGGAACCCTCAGTTCCTCTGCACATACTGTGGCTGTTCTGTCCTCCCAAGGGCTGGGCTCTGCTTTTGGGGGGAGACTCAGCCCCCAAAAATGAGCCCTATCACTTTACACATGGCCATTTAGAACAAGATTGTTGCTCTACCTTCACTGTCAGCTGAAGCACTAACCCCAGAATTGCACTGGCCAAGCCAAGGGAGCTGAATGAAGAATTATTGGAATTTTAGCTGCCTTCACAGGGCAAAACACACAGAATGGCCAGGAACAGAGGCAGAGACGAGAATCTGAGATAGGCATAAGGAAATAGCAGTGGTTTTTTTGTACCATGCCTGGCTGCTTAGCTGGCACCAGCTGGCAAGGAGGTGCTCTTGACAGCATTTGTGTTGGAGCTTCTCCTCTACTGTTCCTTCTGCTCTGCACAGACTGTCAACCCAAAGGGTTTTGTGGCTTCATCATGACTGGGATTGTGAAGTGCCTAGCTAGAAAGCCAGGTTAAATGAGAAACATTGCTGCAGCGTCTCTGAGATTGTCTGAGAGCATGAAACACAGTTCAGAGTCTCAGTAAAGAAGAAACAGTAGCTGGTTTATGTAAACTCAGGTAGAGGCAAGACCAGAGGATGTGTAAAGCAAGTTTTCCTATGTACCAAACCACCAGCTGTGGGCTCCTGCCTTCATGCTCTCAAACCTGCAGGTCCCTAATAAAACAGCCAAATGTGGTGTCCAGGACCTGTGTATCTCTTTGCTCCAGACTTGTTAAATGTAAAAGTTCTGTATTGCTTTGGAACATTACAGCTGTTGTTTGCTCATCTGTACACGTTGCCCTTGCCAAAAACACCTGGTCATCTGAATGTAACTTGAAAAAATGGGTGGTTTTCAGTCTGGTGCCACAGTCTTCTCAAAACCCTGAGAGAGGTGGGTGGCCACCATTTTCTGGCCTCACCTTTGCTGTTATGCACTCTTTTCCACAGAAACTCAATTCCCCCTTTAAAGTAAATGTGTCGTTTGTTGTAATTCATGTATCACTAATATCTCAGTATCTTTGCATTACAGAGACCTGGAGCATTCATTCCAGATGCCATTTGCACTTGAGCCAGTTACACCTGGACACAGTGGGGAAGACAAAATTATCTGAAGGAGCTGGACACACTGAGCAGCCTTCTCAAGTTTCCAACAACCAATACGTTTGTGTACCTAAAATTTTCCCTTCTGTTAATATTTAAACTGTTTGGAATCTAGGAAAAGGTTGATTTTGCCCCAAGGACAGTGCTTTTCTGCAATATTGGCATTTCAATCTCTGTAGGAACTCATTCTTTTTCAGAGAAGTGACATAAGCTCATCGAACAAGGAAATATCCTCTGGTAGCACTTCACAGGACTTTTCTTTTTATGTGCCTTTGGTTTTTGTGGCAATTTGTCATTTCCACCATGGTAAGAAACGTCAGGCCTTGGATTCTGGCATGGCCACATTGTCCTTTATTTCACAGCTTGGCACCAAGCCCATGTACTCTGTAGCCCAGCTCTTTCTTTGCAGAGTGCAAAGGTAACTGTGCCTTGTTTTCCTTTTCTATTCTACTCTAGCTAAAGGAAAGATGAGACAAACAGAAACAATCAGCTCTCTTTTGTCCAGTTTTGCTCACAGGTACTCGTTTGTCTTGTTTCTTCATCTCTGGACACACTTAAAGTTTCCTGTCCTTCGTGCAGACACACAAATAACCTAATTGTTAATAGTTTCTTGCTATGAACTGCTATTCCCTGTATTCTGTGCATTGTATGTATTTCATGGAATCACAGAATGGTTTGGGGTGGGTGGGACCTTGAATATTATGTTGTTCCACCCCCTGCCCTGGGCAGGGACACCTTCCACTAGCCCAGGTTGCTCCAAGCCCCGTCCAACCTGACCTTGGACACTTCCAGGGATGGGGCAGCCACAGCTTCTCTGGGCAACCTGTGCCAGGGCCTCACCACCCTCATTGTAAAAAACTTCTTTCTTATATCAAATTTCTGGAAACCCTGTTAGAAGCAGCACCTTTTCTAGGCTCAACTGGAAAACTGGAGGATTGAGGGTGAACTGTACCTGTAAACTGGTCCCAAGTGCCTGTCAGCAATTCAAGTGGCAAAATGAAAGAAGTTTGTCTCTCTATGGCTGAATTTTCCCTCTTCCCATCATTGATTGCTGCAATTTTGTTACTCTTATGAATTTATGGCTGAAAGCATAAGTAATTTTTAAATTTTTATTTTTAAGTATATATATATATAGAGAGAAATATCTTCTAGTTCTTACCTGCTGGCTCAGGGACTGATACTTTTTCTAAATACACTATTGCTAGTAATGGTGTGAGTTACAACAAAAACATTTCAGTCATTTTATTTCATCTGCAATCAGAAAAATTCAACTTTTCTAGGTTGTGCTTATGTGTAGATGCAGATTTGTACTAATCCATTTCCTTACCATTAATTTTCAAATGCTCCCTTGCACATAGGAATGGAAGTTTGACTTCCATGTGTTCATTTCATTTACAGTTTTTATTGCTCACATTTCTCTTTGGTTATGTCTCAAGGCTCACTGATGTACAAGATCTTCATGTACATGTTCTGTAAGAATTGCTAACAGAAAACAAATCAGAAACTTGTGTGATGAGTAATGGAATTATTTTTGATTTTTTTAATTTGTCTTTTGTTGCTTCATTTCCATTGTAACATGTATTTAACCAGCATCTGGCAGTCAATGTTTTAATTGTGTGTGCTGTACCAGTTTAAACATAGCTCAGAACAAGTTCTGAATGAGGCATTTAGAACCATTTCCTGTATTAATGTTTTTACAAACCAGCCAACTGTTGAAGGACTGTTTATCCCTCCCTGTGCTGTCACACTGTTGATGCTGCAGTGCAGAGAATTCACTGCCCACAGAGCAGTGCTGAAAGTCTGAAAGCCTTTCTTTTGAAGGAAATAAGTGACTGTAGGCAGAGCCCTTCCAGTATGAAATTTACCTGTAGCTCAACACTGGGCAGTAATGTTGATAAGATTCTTGGCTGTATCACCTTTTCTACTTTCAGCATTCTTCTCCCTGGAATATTTTGCCTGTCTGCACATCTGATTTGGCTGGAGAGGCTTTCTGGGGGCAGCTGCCTCTGTTCTGTACAAGGAACTTTGTACCTAAGCTAGGTGTCTTGTTGCTTTGTGCTGTCCTAAATACATAACCTGTCCAAAAGTCACTCTTAAGTATGATTATTAGATATTTTTCATTGCCAGATTTTCATCCTTCTAGTTTTTTAACCAAGACGTAAAAGCAGGAAGAAAAGTCTTTCTGGCACTTAGTTCATCCTGTCATTTGTTGAGTTGTCCTTGCCACCCCAAGGGCAGGTGCAGACAGACACCCAGGCTCTGCTGATGTTTGCTGGCTCCATACTCTGGGGGATTGGGCCCACTTTTGATCGTGCTTCTTACTGCCACAGCCCTGTCCTGTCATGGAATCACAGCATGGTTTGGGTTGGAAGGGACCCTAAAGCTCATCTATTCACTCCCTGCCATGGGCAGGGACACCTTCCACTGGCCCAGGTTGCTCCAAGCCCTGTCCAACCTGGCCTGGGACACTTCAGGGGTGGGGCAGCCACAGCTTCCTGCTGGGCAACCTGTGCTGGGCCTCTCCCACCCTCACAGGGAACAATTCCTTCCCATATCCCATCTATTGCTGCCCTCTGGCAGTGGGAAGCCATTCCCTGTGTCCTGTCCCTCCATCCCTTGTCCCCAGTCCCTCTCCAGCTCTCCTGGAGCCCCTTTAGGCCCTGCCAGGGGCTCTCAGGTCTCCCTGGAGCCTTCTCTTCTCCAGGGGAACCCCCCCAGCTCTCCCAGCCTGGCTCCAGAGCAGAGGGGCTCCAGCCCTCCAGCTCCATGGCCTCCTCTGGACTTACTCCAACAGCTCCACATCTTTCTTTTGCTGAGGCCCCAGACCTGGACTCATGAGGCTCCTGGACTCTGCCTCCAGGCAGAGTAGAGGGGGAGAATCGCCTCTTATGAGCATGATCATGTTTGTCTTACAGTGAAACACTTGAAAGCAGTGCAGGGGTACAGTACAGACACACCTGGACTTTTTCCCTTTTATTCTCCTCTTTATTGGACCATAATTATTCAGGTCACTCAGGCAAAGAAGGTTTCAGTGGGTTTCTCCTGAAAAATGTAATAGTTGTTCTTGGAGCATCTGCCCTGCTGAGCTGCTGTCCAGCACAAACTACCAAGGCTTGTGTATCCCATCACCTGGCAGCCTGTGGAGTTAGCAGAATCCAGAGCAGGAGGGCAGGGAACACTCACCAGGCAGTTCTCAACTGCAGCTTCTCAGCTGCAGATTCCAGTGGACTTGGCAAGACAGAGGTTCTGGAACTGTTAGAATGAAAGAAAAAAATACTGGAAGCTTGAACACATTGTGGGATGCCAAGAGCTGGATTTGGAGCTGTGCAGTGAGGGGATGGGTGCCTGTTCAATTGGAGTCTGCCAGAGCCAGGCTCAGAACCACAACAAAAACCTGTCAGGAATCCTTGTGCTTCCTGACCTCCTGCAAGTGGGACTGAAACATCACAACAGAGAGAGCCTGGTCTCTTCTTCTGTTTCTAAACGTACAAAAACCTGATCTGAGAGCCATCCATTGGCCTCTGAGGCTGTGTGGGCACCAGCAGCATTGCCACTGGATGTCCTTTTGAAATAAAAAGGCTGCTGGTTTATTCCCATGTCTTTTATTGTGATTAAGATTTGCAAAACACCCTCAGGCTTGCAATCTGTATTTTAAGTCTCTGAAGCCTTCAGAGCTCATGTATTTTTTAGCAAACAAAAGCATCTGCAAGTTGGTTTCAAATATAAATAATTTAATCATGGGATCATTATTCTTTTAAGTCAGGTGCTGCTTTAAAATCCTGGCGAGAATCTCTGAGGGGAGGCAAACAAATCCATGGGTTTGACTCGTTCTTTGGTTTGCTGTGCTTCTCCAGAGTTCTTGGTTGGAGGCAAATACTTCCCTTAAAAAGAGGTCATCAATAATGAAGCGAGATGAATTTTCCAGGCTGCGTGGGGAGCGGTTCGTGCCAGGTCAGCCGTTTGCTCCTGTTTCATAAGCTGCTGGGCAGGGTGAGCATTGCACATGGTGCTTCTCATTAGTCTCTTCAGCATCCCACAACTGCCTGGGCTGAGATTTTCAGCGTAGCTGTACTTACTGAAGCAGGTGACAACAACTATATTTACTGGAACTGACTTTTTAAGTGTTTGTCTTTTAAACCAGGTCACTGCTGGAGCTTATTCTGCTGCTGAGTCTTACATAAAATGGGCTGAAGCAGAAAGCATCATCCTGGTTGAGCTGTTTTCAGCTCAACTGCCATTCAGAAGGTGTTTTAATTTCTTCTAACGACTGCTTTACCCTCAGTAAGTTGGCAGACAGCACTAAGTTGGGTGGGAGTGTTGATCTGCTGGAGGGCAGGAATGCTCTGCAGGGGGATCTGGAGAGGCTGGATCCATGGGCTGAGGCCAATTGTATGAGGGTCAGCAAGGCCAAGTACCACATCCTGCACTTGGGTCACAACAGCCCCCTGCAGCTCCAGGCATGGGGAAAAGCAGCTGGAAAGGCTGGAAAAGGCCCTGGGGGTGCTGGTGACAGCGGCTGAATGTGAGCCCAGGTGTGCCCAGGTGGGCAGGAAGGCCAAGGGCACCTGGGCTATGCCAGCATTGGTGTGGCAGCAGGACCAGGGCAGTGACTGTGCCCCTGGGCTGGGCACTGGTGAGGCCACACCTCAAATCCCGGGGGCAGTTTTGGGACCCTCACTACAGGAAGGACATAGAGGAGCTGGAGTGTGTCCAGAGAAGGGAATGGAGCTGGGGAAGGGGCTGGAGCATCAGGAACAGCTGAGGGAGCTGGGGGGGCTCAACCTGGAGAAAAGGAGGCTCAGGGGGGACCTTCTCACTCTCTCCAACTCCCTGACAGGAGGGGGGAGCTGGGGGGAGTCGGGCTCTTCTCCCAGGGAACAAGGGACAGGATGAGAGGAAACAACCTCAAATTGTGCCAGGGGAGGGTCAGGTTGGACATCAGGAGGAATTTCTTCATGGAAAGGGTGGTCAGACATTGGAAAGAGCCATCCAGGGATGTGGTGAAGTCTCCATCCCTGAAGAAATGACTGGAAATGGCACTGCTGTTCTTTAGTTGACAACGTGGTGATTGGTCAAAGATGGGACTTGATCTTGGAGGTCTTTTCCAGCCTTAATGATTCTGTAATTCTGTGTCTTCCTGCAAGTCACACTGGGCCCTGCCAGCCACACTTTGGTGTAGGTGCTGCTTGACTGGGGCTCCCTGCCCTGTACCAAAAGTACCAGTGCACTGCACTCATCCCCTTGGTCCAGGGCACAGGCTTGTCACTACGTGTCACCCGAAAAGCTTGGGTGCTCTTTTATTGCTTGAAGAAGATGCAACATGACAATCTTGATCATTCAAATATTTACAAAAGAGTTCTCACAAATGAGTGACAGAATCCAAACATTAAGCTTAGCTGATTTTCTAACATACCAGAGGGGTTGCCACTGTAAGTTTTATCTGATTCAGGAAAAGCTGTATTTGGTACCACTTTATGCGCCATTTTCCAGTGGGGACCTGAACAACAACAAGCCTTCAAACAGATTAAGCAGGAGATTGCCCATGCAGTAGCCATGACTAGCCCTTGGGCCAGTCAGGACAGGACAGGACGTGAAGAACGTACTGAGCCCAGATGGTCAAGTGCTTCTGACAGATAAATCCTCCATTCTGAATCGATGGTCTGAACACTTTCAGACTCTCTTCAGTACCAACCATGTAGTCCAAGA